ATATATATATATATATATATATATATCAATACATTTTAGAAATCCAGTTTAAGAAGGCTCACTACTTTCAAACTTTGTAGTATTAGGGGTGGGGATGAAGTAGGGGGTAATATCTGTCTGTTTAAAGAGCATCTTAACATTCATTTTACTAAATTTCCATTCTAATTAAATTCATTTTACTCTAAACATCAGAAAAATAAAATTTTAGGCAGCAGAAACTTCAGGCCCTACATATGTATACAGTTGGTGCTGCTTTAATCCTAACTCTGGAGACCACCTATCAGGACAGACTTTCACAAGCCTCTTCAGGCAAGGGGCCCTGCCCCTCAGCCTCCACCCCCACCCCATCTCTGCATTCCTCCTTCACAGCAATAAAGAATTGTACATGTGTCCTTACTTCACAGCCCTGTAACTCTGGCTTGCCCACAAATTTAAACAGAATTATTTTGTTCTGTTTGAGTCCCCTAAGGACATTAAATATTAAATGACTTTGGTTTGGCACTTTTTAACAATATTATAACATTATTTGCAGAAAATCTTTGAAGATAAAATGTTCTTATTTTTGGGCCGGCCCGGTGGCGCACTGGAGAGTGCGCTGCTTGGGAGCGCGGCAGCGCTCCCGCCGAGGGTTCGGATCCCATGTGAAGACCAGTTCCCGCTCACTGGCTGAGCGCAGTGCGGGCACAACACCGAGGGTTGCGATCCCGTTGCCGGTCCCCAGTACGGGCACAACAACGAGGGTTGCGATCCCGTTACCGGTCAGTAAAAAAGACAAAAAGGAAAAAAAAATGTTCTTATTTTTAATTATCTTTTTCATTGATGTATTTTATTTACTAATTATACATAAATAAGTTGCTGATACTAAAATGCTAAATGTTTTCCCTCAAACAAATGTAAATCAAACATTTCCCTCCACTGTACAATATAAATGTTAACAATGGAATTACATTATTCAAAATAAAAAGAGACAGATACAAATCTGGCAACTTACCAGATATTTAAAAATAATATACCCCAAAAAGATAATCTCAAGATATATCTGTGCTAATGTATAGTTTGCTCTTTCAGTGGAAGCAACTTTTTATAAATACAAAGAATGACATATTTTCACCATAAAAGAATAACTTAATGTTATAAATTCCATGGCATGCCACTGTAAAACTCAGAAACAATTAAAATTTTGAAAAGCATGCTATACTTAGAATGATTTGAGTGTAGTCTGTTGTTATTGTTCAGGACACAGAGGATATACTAAAAAAAAGTCATGCAAATGTGTCATTCACGCTTGACCCCAAAAACAACAATAAAAAGGTAGAATAGAATTAATGGAATAAATGGAAATAATTTGTATGATAAGTCACAGAGGGGATTTCTACTGTTTCTTAACAACTGTAGTCCTGGCATTCACACACACACACAAAATAACCTTTATCACCTCATATTTCTAAATTAGTTCTAACATAGCATATAATTTCTGCCCCCAAATTCAGGCTTATCCTTAGATAAAGCATTTAATCAAGTTTTTTATTTCTGAATACAGGGCTCACTCAGTAATAGATCAAGCCACCACTGACTCATCCTTTCTTTAATTTACACAAATGTCTTTAATTCATTCTTCTTTCCATGCTCAAAACAATCGCTTTCTTAGAACTCTTCCCTTCAATAAACTTCCCTTTTAGGACCATGTAAATTTCCTTTTGGTGAGGTGGGATTAGAGGGAGGGAGGTGGCTTTAGAGAAGAGCAAAGCTCACTGAGATGCAAGGGCTGTGGTGACCAGATAGTTTCACTCACTAGTGAAATGCCTGGTTCCCACAAGTGTAAGTTAATAATATTTATGCCCCAGAAAATTAAAAATTACTATGTCATGAACTTTGGAAATCAATCCTAAAAGCAGCAACTGAATGTGAGGGTCTTCTGTACATCAGCAGCACATAAACTCTCTCTTTATAAGAAACTTCATGTGAATCTGACTCATTGAACTAAAAGCAATCACATTCCGATGCTTCTGCACTGACAACCAATACATGTCTTTGACACAGAATTTTGGCTTCAAAAATAATAATTTAAAGAACAAAGTCCGACAAAAAGCACACTTCCTTTCTTTGCAGAAATGTGCCCACAAAGTAAAAATCCTTTTGAGGTTCCCACATGTTACCAGCCATCTGTCTGGGGCAAGTGAACAATGAATGCTAAGTAAAACCCATTGACTACTCTTATACAAGTAGGCATACTCCCTACAAGTCTAGGACGATGCAAAAACTCTCCCTTCTCTGTCTTTCGTGAAACCAGCTGTAGGTGGTGTATCTGTATATCTAAGGATCTTTCTACAGCAGATCTTGCGTTGATAAATAATTCTAAGCACCTATTAAAATATTCCCTCCTGCCTTCCTGGATTTTGTCATGGCAAACGTGAAAAGATAACATGTTTTAACAAAGTATAGTTTTACAGGGTATGTTACTAGAGCTATCTAGTATTAGTATCTGCAGATATCTCCTAATATATCTAACATAACAGAATTTTAAGAAGCCACTTACTGCTACACCAGCATGGTAACTTGTTCCACAAGCAATAAGAATCAAACGCCGACACCTCTGGATCTCCTTAATGTGATCCTTCAAGCCACCCAAATTCACTGAAATAAAAGTTTGCACATATAATTATTTAGTAAAGAACCATGTGAAATAGGCAATCACTTTTCTTGAGTGTCCACTGCCAATATGAGAAATAATGCTGCCATTTTAAAGAATTCATATTCCTCTTAGGGAACACAGTTCTCCATAGTTTTGAAAAGTAAATTAAATAGGTCACAACTTAATTGGCCCTTCCCAAACTTATAACTGACCTTATCCAACCTCCTAGAAATCCACACAATTACAGTGTTTATCACATTCTATCCTGTTTAGTCATGTCTACATTCCTTTTTTAGATTAAAAGTTATCTTAAAGGAAAAAACTATACAGACACAAACAACAGATCAGTAGATGCCAAGGGCTGGCGGTGGGAGGGGGTTCTACATTCCTTTTTTAGATTAAAAGTTATCTTAAAGGAAAAAAACTATACAGACACAAACAACAGATCAGTAGATGCCAAGGGCTGGCGGTGGGAGGGGGCTGACGACAAGGGGCACAAAGAAATTCTTAGACGGAATTGTTCTACATCTTGACTTTGTAGAGGTCAGGATTATGACTATGTTGTGGAGGTTGTATAAACTCGGAATTGTACACTAAGAATGGTGAATTTTATTATATCTAGTCATATCTCAAAGCCAGCCTGGAAAAATAATTGTCATCGTTATGTTCATTTCCCTTCCAGTGCCCAGAACAGTGCTGTGTATGCAACATAAACCCACTCTCCTCTCCACCTCTGCCATCTCAGTTATGCTGTCTCCATTCACCTCACTGCTCCTTGACTGCACCTATCCCTCCAAATCTACCTTCAACGCTATCGCCCTAAACCAATGTCTCTCCCTGGATGAGAGCAACAATCCCGACTGTTCTAATCCTCTGTTCTAATCTCAACCTCCTGGAGTCTGCTCTGCACACAAACACACAGCAGAATGACCTTTAAAAACAGAAATCTGATCTTGAAACCCTCCAATGAAGTCTGTCCTCTTTTCCTTTTTCTGTCTCTTTAGCTCTTTGTGTTCTTCTACGTATGTCTTGTCTAGGAATTCTACTCAAACTAGTTTCCTACCTGTAGGAAATTCTCACTCAACATTCACTCAATCAATTATTCAACTAACATTTCTTGAGTACCCATCAAGTGAATATACTGGTCAAGGCACTGAGTTCTAGACTGAAATAGGTCAGATTCTGGCTGAAGAGAAGGATGTGTACCTCCTCGTGGACATCTTCCTCCGGCTCTCTCTGAATCATCACTCCACTGTCTACTCTGTCTCTGCTCTCATCTCTCCACCCTTTTTTCTTATTTGGTTATACCATAAAACCAAGGTATATGTTTTTACTTTTTAGCTTTTTGAATATTTTTATGTTCTTTTTTGAATTTCACTAGTGAAAGAGGGTATTAAGTTTCTCTACTTTAAAAAATCAGCAAAATGGAAAATAAAACAACAAAAAGTGTCATTGGCTTCTCAAATAACTTAGCATCAAATCCAAACTCCTTATTATAGCCTTGAAGTTCTACTTGGTCTGTCTCCTGCTGAGCTCTAACCCAATCTCCTAGTACTTTGCCTCTTACCCACAACAAGCCAGCCAGACTGGCCTTCGTGCTATTCCCGCACTAGACCAGGCCTGCTCCAGTGCCTCTGCTTGCAGTGTTTCCCACAGACCTTTGCATGCTCTGCAAAGGTTTAGGAAGAAAGGATACAACAGTAACAGGTTGGGATGGGGTCATGCAAAGGCAAATCAGTTTGGAGACAACTCAGTATAGAAGCAGACAGACTACCAGAGAGAGATGCATTGCACATGATGACCAAGAATGATAGGAAGGTAAAATGGTAAGATTAGCAGGCCACAGTGTTTCACTAAAATTAGTTCTAGCAAATTCTTGGTGGCTGAGGGAAGTATGTGGTACTTCTGGAAGGAGTTGCCCAAGGTCTGAATTAATGATGCTTTTGAGAGATTCTGAAAAGGCAGGCAGGCCATGGCCATGGGAAACAGCAAGGATGCCTGGTGAACGGGTTGGGGTAAAAGAAGACTCAGAACAACAGTGAACATATGGGGACTAGTCCGGCACCAAGAATGACTAGCAATGCAAAATTCAGCAAGACACTCAACCTGACAGAGCCTCAATATCCCCATCTTAACATCGAAAAACTGCTATCCTGTTTATAGTAATTTTATGCCCATAATATAGATAATATGGGGACTAGTCCGGCACCAAGAATGACTAGCAATGCAAAATTCAGCAAGACACTCAACCTGACAGAGCCTCAATATCCTCATCTTAACATCGAAAAACTGCTATCCTGTTTATAGTAATTTTATGCCCATAATATAGATAAAAGTGCTTTTTAAAATCATGAACTTCTAAAGTTTGTCTCATTCTCTTCCCTTATAAAACAAATCTTTTTTCCTGACTTTACTTCCATAAGTACCATACACGGTATTTACTGCTACTGTCCCAGCTTCTAGCTCAACTGTTTTCAACAATCCCCTCAGCCCGCACAGGCAGATGTAAGTCTAGTTTATACTGCTCCTGTTTCTCTCCTGGTCCCCACCTCCCTCACCTATCACTGTAGCCCAGACAGGACAACATCCTAACTGACAACTCATCTCAGTCTCACCCCTCCGATGCACACTGGATAAGAGTACCCAGTTCACCTCAGTAGAGCACAGCACTGACCGCCCCTAGCTCCTTGGTTTTCCATAACTCCGTAATTTTTACAAAAGGAGATACCTTACACATCACAAAGCCCCAACTCCCATGTTGGAATGCATTCAAGGCCCTCCCTAGCAGTTCCTTTTACCTTCTTTCTGAGACTTATTTCTCTTTACTCCTCTTCAAACACTAGATCTAGCAGACAAAGTAGACTACATATTATTCCCTAAACAGCTTTCCAACTATTTTTCCACTATCTTCCTCTTAGCAAATGCCAACTTCTTGCCAATTGAAATGCTCCCATTTGATCCTCACCTATTTAAATCTTCCAAATCCTTCAAAAGCCACACCTACCTACTTCATGAAGCCTTCCCATATCCCAAAGCCCCTTCCCACAGATTCATTCTGTGCCTTCCCTAAATTCAATGGCTAACTTTGAACTTCAAGCATTTCAACATTCACCACTATCCATCTCCAGAACTTTTTAATCACCCCAAACTGAAACTATGTACCTATTAAATGATAACTCCTCATTTCCCCTCCCTCCAGTCCTCGGTAACCATTAATCTCTACTTTTTGTCTCTATGAATCTGACTATTCTAAATATTTCCTGTAAGTGGAGTCATACACTAAAGAACTTTTAAAAGATGGCTGGGCTCCACTGATGGCGTCCTCGGTAACCATTAATCTCTACTTTTTGTCTCTATGAATCTGACTATTCTAAATACTTCCTGTAAGTGGAGTCATACACTAAAGAACTTTTAAAAGATGGCTGGGCTCCACTGATGGCTGGCAGCCATAGTTGTTCTACAAGGATGTAAAGGACAAGGAACTTTCAGGTTGTTAATGGCATCCCTCATAAGAGACTTCAAAACAATAAAATAATTCATATTTTTATTACCAGTATAGTCATCAAAGTTGACTCTTCCTCTCATTGTGTTCACAACAGACTCTGGCTGCTCAAAAATTTCCTTCTGCATAAATGAACTGAAGTTGCCTACGGTAATAGAAATTACATAATTAAAATAAAAATTAACAAACCAAATAAGAAATTTGTACACAACTAAAAGTCTATTTCCTTTAACATAATCTCAGCAAACAACAGAGAACCATATCCACATATGACTGTCTAAAGGACTGGATCAATATATTTCACTCTATTTGAAGAAAAATGAGAAAGTAAGGAGAAAAAGTCACTTTTATAAACTTCATACCTAAAATGTGCAGCTAGAGCAAAAAAGGGGAATGAGACAAGCTTAAGTTCTGGAGCCAGACCTAGGTTCAAACCATGGTTCTATCCTTTACTATCTAAGCTGGGAAAATTCCTTACTCTGTAAAATAAGAATAGCATTTACTTCATAGTGTGGATAGTAGTGTGGATTCATATAGCAAGGAAGTTGACATATGGTGGTTATATAACAAATGCTATCTTTTATTCCCACCACAACCCCATCAGAAAGGAGAATAAAAAATCAAAATCACAATAATCGTAATAGTTAATAGCAGCAAACATTATATAGGTCTAAGTGTGTCAGGTACTGTTCTAAGGTCATCATATATATTAGTTAGCTCTCTTAATCCTCAAAACAACCTTAATGAGGTAGGTTCTACTACCTCCATTTTACATAAGAGAAAACTGAAGCACACAGAGAATAGGAGAGGAAGAAGAAAACAAAACACAAACTATATTTATGTTTATACAATAGTTTAGAAATATTAAGTGTTATTTAATCTCTTTTTTATAATGTTAGAAACAACAAACCATGAATTAGTTTTAAGAACTATTGTAAGACCAGCAAATAAAATCTCTGAAGAATCCATCCCTTTTCCTGGGGTTGTCCTAATCATGTGGAAGAATCCACTCAGCATGATTACTAGAGTCAGGCTAGGACAGGAAGTAGAATGTCTCCTTTCTGTTAAGGACACCAAGCTATAACATGACAAAAACTTTCACCCTTCATGATCTGCTGAAGTTCCATCTGGAGGGTTTGCACAGCTCGTCCGGGGTGATCTCCGGCAGTTCGTTTAATTCGATGGATAGAAAGGCGGCCATCCACCACTGCTGCTACATCATCATCTTCAAGAAAGATGACGCGATTGGTGTGTTCTATGACAGCACTATAAAATGTTCAAGGAGATATTACCATCAATAACCAAGGATCGTTATTACAAACACAACAATCATTAGGATATAAGGACCAAATTTAAATACAAACTCTATCATCCTGCAATATCTCTAACAACTTTCTAGTTGTCAATGTCATCACCTACAGGGAATGGGGGCAAGGAGAGGTGGTCACTGTAGGCAAAAAATAAAAGGATCTCTGCACAGCAATCTAAACCAAATTAGATTAGATAAAAAAGCATGGCCATTTCCCTCTCAGTCTATCTCCATCACCAAATCCTGCAATTTTAACTCCCAAATACTTTTCAAAATTTCTCTATTCCACCACCATAACCAGTCCAACCAACCATCAGGTCATTGGCCGGACTAATATAGCAACCTCCTAACTTGTCCACCCACATTCTCTCTTATCTCCCTCCATCCATTCTCTATTTCCAAGAAAACTGATGGGAAAAGGCAACAATAATCAAGATTTCTCCCTTACCCAACAAACCACATGATGGCTTCCCTTTGTCTCTTAGGAAAACAACAAAATGCCTAACTGTGACCCCTATACCTCCTTCTCCAGCCTCATCTCCCACTAAACTTCCTCTCACTTTCTCTAATCCAGCCACATTCACACCCATCCCAAGCTCTCATAGCCTGAGCCATCTGCAGAGAATGAATGTTCTTCCCTCCACCTCTTCACCAAATTAATTCCTAATCTCTCCTTAAATCTCAGTTCAAGGTGTCAATCCCTTAAAGAAATTTACTCACAAGAAGGTAAATCACCGTCTTATAGGTATTCTGTAGCTCATCACAGCTTGAATTCTACACTTGTGTGATTGTTTAAAATTTGTCTCTTCCATTACAGAAAAGGTCCTTAAGGGCAAGTAATATTTTTATCTTTGCTCATCATTAACTCCTGCGGTTAGCATAAAGCTTTGCTCAGAGTGCTCAATATGAATGCATGAATAAATTTTAAAAAGAGGCTAGTATGTTTCTGCAATTTCCAGTTTATTTAAGCCATAACTGACAACTCTGTACCAAACATACTTAATGACAACAATGACACATCTTAGCACTGACATCTTACACACCTGCAAAAAGTAGAAAACAGTGACACTTGTTTTCCCACTGAGATAATACATGCCCTGAAGTCCTAAATAGCATCATTTTCCCATTTTTATTATTTCCTCTTATTTTCTCGCACAGTGAACGACTCAAATACTTGTTGGTAGTTTTAGTGAGTCTATTTTATCATCATTACTATTAGCATTTCATTTACAAATGAATCTTAACATCCACTGCACTTTCACTCAAAATGTCTTAGTCTAGTACTATTTCTTTACAAAAGTGATTATATTGCAAATTACTTCTAAATATAAAAGATAAGTGTCCACATTAAACTGAAACTACAATGACTTAGCAACTATACTATAACTGGTTGGATAGTAACTAAGCCATTCTATTCTCCAATCGAAAATCTCTCCTCCCTACAAAACCTAGGTAAAGCTCCTAAAAGAAAAAAATACAAGAGTTCTAAAGTAAATACACTGGAAGAAGTCTCAAGGAATATATGTGTTGTTGGTAAGCTGATCTACATGCTTTGAAGTGAGAGAAAAACTCTTCTTTTTTTTTTTTTTGTCTTTTTGTCTTTTTTTGTGACCGGCAACGGATCGCAACCCTCAGTGTCGCGCCGGTACCGGACCGGGACCGGCAACGGGATCGCAACCCTCGGTGTTGCCCCCGCTCCTCGCTCAGCCAGTGAGCGGCCGGTCCGTATGCGGGATCCAAACCCTCGGCGGGAGCGCCACCGCGCTTCCCAAGCAGCGCACTGCAGCAGTGCGCCACCGGGCCGGCCCAAGAAAAACTCTTCTTATAGCCCCATCTCCAAAAGGTCTCCAATATTTCCTTAATTATGAAAATCCTCTTATATAGACTGACTAGATTTATACAAAATGACTTCTTGGTTTCCTGTAGTACATAAGTTTTACTAAAAATTCTCTTTGAATCAATGAAGGAAGTTCACCTTGCATCAGAAGCAAAGTAATACTCCACAGCTTTTTCTTCAACAGGGAAAAGGCAAGTTGTGCTGTCCACCCGAGAGAGATTGCAGCTTCCTTTCTTGTCTTTGCCTAGAGCATATAGATAACATGAATAGGCAAACATGTAGAAAATCATGGCCAATATGGAAATATGCACAATTTTCTACAAACTCAACAAAAAACCCCATAGCAACACAAAATAATTTCAGCAATTTAAAAATGCCAGGTAGATCACCTATTTCCATGCAATAAGCCAATAAAAACAGACAAAAAGTGTAGAGTGAAATAGCAACTATCAAAGAGTGCACGGCACATAATAGTGCTACATTACAAATGTTTTAATATAATATTTCTTTTCCAGGTAAAAGTCAAATAATTCATTAATATCATTAAGTTTTTTTTAATCAAAAGTATGTATAGACTAATCTTAATTTAACTTTATTCAAAACTTGATGGACTTACACATAAGTTTGTGTACCTATACTTATCACAAAAACTACATTAAGATATAAAAATTATGCAATAAAAAATAAAATGACTAGTGGCAAATTAATTTTTATTATCTGATAATAAAACATCTCTAGATTTTAACAGCAAGTTAGTATAACAAATCAAGTTGTAGTCTACACTAATTTTGATTTACAAATAAAACAAAGATACATATCAAACTAACCATGGTATATCATATGTGGCACCTACTGCTAGAGATTGCAAATATTATAAACCAAAACCCTCTTCTTTCTTAAAAGAAGTGTAAGAAAACCCAATTTTAAGTCAGGATAAAGTATGATCCTTTTGCAATAATAATGTCCTTTTAATTCTAGTACTTCAGAATTCTGGCATCTCAGCTTAATTTGTCAAGTAAGTCATTGATGAATAATATTTTTTTCTTTTTGCTCATTTACAACTAATGTCATAACTGGAAAGCATACTGAAGTTTGATAAATAAGCCAAATATAGGAAAAAATCTATTAAGTGAAGACTACAAAAATGCCCTACAGACAAAAAAGCACCTTTCTCCAAGGCCAGGACATAGTAACCCTTATAACCTGTGGACACAACAGCCAGAGAATACCATACATGCACTTGTAAAAACTTGTCTTTATCCTCTAAAATGCATGTATAAAGAGCTGGTAATTATTCTTAAAGAAGTACAGCCAAAGTTCTCCACTACCTGTGATTATCTGGTGTGTTTGAGGCATGAAAACAAAGTAGCTCTTCCCATTCAAATTCAACAGCAAAAAAGGTATGGAACTTTGAAAAACAAGTATAAGATGACATTGTAGGAGAAGTAACACTATAGAAAAATAACAGATTGGTGATTGCCAGGGTCTAGGAATGGGACAAGGGATGACTACAAAGAGCAACTCAAAGGAACTTTTTGGGGGATGAAATTGTTCTGCACCTTGATCGTGGTGGTGGTTATACAAACTATTTGCATTTGACAAAACTAATGAAACTACCCATCAAAAAGAGTGACTTACTATAGCTAAAAAAAAGTGAATTAAAAAACAGGTAAAAGGATAGCCCAGTACTGACATTTTGAAAATAAATACAACTAGCTTTGGTAATAAAATGTCCTAACGGGGTTGAGTTTTACTCTGTTTCCTTCAAATATCAATCATTTCATTCTTCAAGTAACAAAGTATATTTAATTAAAATATTTAAAAGAATTGAGATATCACTGCCGATTTAAATAAAAAAAATTACTACTTGACATCTATACAGCTCTTACAATCTACAAATGTTTTCGCATTGATTATTATCTCATCTGATTTGATTTAAATGTAATATAATTATCATCCCTGTCCTACAGATAGAAAGATGGCTTTATCTGGTCAGTGGTCACACCTGGAAAAAACAGCAAAAGCCTAAAAGCCGGACCAGTGTTCTCTCCTTTACATAGCCTCTTCAATAAGAGGCTATTCCTTTTAAACTAAATTTCATTGAGCCACACATTACCTACCTACTAGGAGTTAGAAAACTAAGAGTTACCCCAATTTCAAAAAGCTCTGTCACATAATAAATTTTTCTTCCAACTTAAGAACTCAGCCAATGTTTTTCCATTGGTATTTCTAAAAGCAGCCCAAGACAATGTACAAGGTAACATATAGATAATATATACATGAATAGAATTATTAGCAGAAATCTGGAATTCTGAATACAAATCCTGTACTCTCACTGGTAGATTAGTTTTTCTTCTGAAAAGGGGGGACAGGAGAGGTAGGGGGAGAAGATAAGAAGAAATTCTAACATCTCAGGATTAAAGGTTGTTTAAGGAAATAAATTTCTGCCCTAGATAAAAAGCAGCCAACATTCAAAAATGAATGTGTTGGGCCGGCCCAGTGGTGCGCTGGCGAGTGCGCTGCTTGGGAGCGCGGCGGTGCTCCCGCCAAGGGTTCGGATCCCATGTGGAGACCGTAATAACTTCGTATAGCATACATTATACGAAGTTATACGATCCTAACTGACAACTCATCTCAGTCTCACCAACATTCAAAAATGAATGTGTTGGGCCGGCCCAGTAGTGCGCTGGTGAGTGCGCTGCTTGGGAGCGCGCCAAGGGTTCGGATCCCATGTGGAGACCGGTTCCCGCTCACTGGCTGAGCGCGGTGCGGGGTGCGCTGGCGAGTGCGCTGCTTGGGAGCGCGGCGGTGCTCCCGCCAAGGGTTCGGATCCCATGTGGAGACCGGTTTCCGCTCACTGGCTGAGCGCGGTACGAAGTTATACGATCCTAACTGACAACTCATCTCAGTCTCACCGGGAGCGCGGCGGTGCTCCCGCCAAGGGTTCGGATCCCATGTGGAGACCGGTTTCCGCTCACTGGCTGAGCGCGGTGCGGGCGCAGCGCCGAGGGTTGCCGATCCCGTTACCGGTCAGTAAAAAAGACAAAAAAGAAAAAAAAAAAATGAATGTGTTTACGGTACTTTGCTAAATGTTTTTCAAGAAACCAGGAATTATACGTTAATAATATAGGTTTCAAATTTCTGAACCTACCATTCCCTGTCTTTTACATAAAAGCTTTTAGTAATAAGTAAATGGAAAAGCACACTGTTGCTGTTTGTGTAATTATATCAATAAAATGATCCATGGTTTGTATAGCTAAAGGCCTATACAAAAAAAAACTTCAACCATAAACAATAAAAAAGAACAATGACTTCAAATTCAAATAAAGCCAATCAAGATATAAAATATAAATCTAAACATAAAATGTCATGCATAAAATAAGGTCCATTTAAACGTTGAAACACGTTTAATTAAAAGTTAAGTGAAATTATATAAATAACTACCACTTAGTTCAATCTATAATAACCTAGCACACAATGCTCTTTCCCTAATTTAAGCATGTATCCTACATGACTACAAAGCAAAGAAAAAAATACTTTACAATTTCAATTATTTTCTCAAATCTCACCGATTTTAATGAAACAAATTATTAAAAGTAGTTTTCTAAATGCCAAAAGCAGACAGACAAAATATACTCTGCAAATTAGAAAAATAATGTCAAACATGTTTCTCCATAAAATAAGCATATTTTTAGAGGCCCAGCACATTCATTCACTCCAAGAACAAAGAATTAGTAAAGAATGAACTAAAGAGGATAAGATTCCTCCCCATCCATGCAGAGTGCATTTCCCACCTCTTTCTCCCTGTGATCCCCACCGTGTGAATTTTGATCCAATCTGAGTCCTAGCTAAAAATATACAACAGAAAAAAATTCTACTCGTCAGAGAACTCACAAAATCACATCTTTTTCATGTCTAGACAGAACTGTATATATACATATGTGGATCTGACCAAAGGAACATTTATTTCAACTTAAGGAAAATAATTCTTTACATCTACTGCACTCAATTTATACATTTTCCCCACAGTATGATGTAGGAGCAGTTTTACCTGTTCTGTAGAGTATTGGAATGTGATCAGTAGAAAGTTTATGCTCACTCCGTACACCAATCAACAGAGGGCTACCTCGCCTGTAAATGCAAGATTAGTCAGAACCAAAGTATTTTTATAAATAATGCATGAACAATAAAAAATTTAAGTTTAATAAGCCAACACTCTTCAAACGTTTAAATTCTCCCTCCAAGCTTGACTTCAGATATAACAAAAGAACTAGATAAACAGAATGTTTACAAAATATTCTCTAGCAGAGGTCAGCAAACTGACCCACATGCCAGGTTTGTCTATTTTAAAAAATAAAGTTTTTTTTTATTGTTATTATTTCTTTTTTAAATTGACAAATAAAAAGTTTACTAAATAAAGTTTTATTGGAACATAGCCAGGACCATTCTTTTACATATTTTCTGTGGCTCCTTTCACACTACAACAGCAAAGTTGAGTAGTGGATGCAGAAGCTATATAGCACAGAAGGCCTAAAATATTTACTCTCTGGCTCATTCCAGAAAAACTTTGCCAATCCCTGTTCTGTAACAATATGCTTAAAACTTTTCTCCTTTTTAATGTTACATGGAACCTTTCTTTCTATTGTACCCAAAAGGCTGAGATACGGGTTAGCACCTTCTCCTCAGTCACCCTGCCTTCAGATTAAAAATAACACTCTCTTACCAAATTTTAGGCCTCCTTACTGTTCTAAAAAGGACTTCATGATAAGGCCTAAATATCCTAACAAATGTAGAGATGGTACAATTATCTAGGAATCTGTCTAGAATACAAAGATACTTCAAAAAAGTTCATGGAAAGATTTGCATTATCTTTTAATTCTATTTTTCCATAAACTTTTTGAAGTATCTTTGTATATTTTTCCAAAAAATATGGAGAAAGTTAATGTTTAAGGCCTGAAATCAGAGAATACTCAACGTCCAAATTCATAAAGTAACCATAGTTTACCCCCCCCACACCTCCAGACAAAAGGGCAATTATAAATGCCAACATGTATTTGCTTTAGTAAGGGATTCTGTTAAATGGAAGACTGATAAAACAATAGTCAAGAAGCAGCATATGAAAATAAATATATTCACACAAATACCTCTGAGAAAGGGCAGAGTCTTTATAGTAAAGGGTCATTTATAGTCTATAGAGAATAAACTCGTAACTCAAATGTTTCAAATATAATTAGTCATTATTAGATTTATATGTACCTTGTACCAACTGCTTGTCCAGGAAAATGAACACTTTTAAATACGAGTGCAAAAGCACCTTCCTGTGGAGGGAAAAAAATGCATTAGCAATATTTATTATAATCAATTATCAAGTGTGAAATGCCTAAAACATACTGGCTTTACATTGATATATTTTGTTCATGCAGGTGCTCTTTTGCACTAGTTTATAAACAAGTCTAAATTTTAGGTAGACACTCTTGAGTTTTGGTATATCCACAACGCACTTTTTTAACCAAGCCCACTCTCAAAATATGCTCAATAAATAGCTCCAAGAACAGACCATTTTAAAAGTCACCCTTTGTACATGGTACCAACATTTCTCAATAGATACACCATATTTCTCATACTATGAATTAGTAAGGGGAAGAATGAATTAGAAAAGATCCCAAGCGCATGATCCAAAACCCATTCTCTGTCCCGGTAAGTGTATACCACTGTTAACTTCCATTCTTTTTGACCTTGATATCACTAATACAAATATATACAATCACAATTATTAACATGCAGACCATACCACCCATCAACACAATCTCCTCAAGGACAGAGACTAAAGAAATTAAGAATAGATAAAGAGGGAATATGAGGTAGGAGAGGGAAGAATCACCATGGAACACAAACTGGATTACACAATGAATAGAAGAAAAAGGCTATTAGAAACAAGAAAAGGCTGAGAAGGCACACTACTCCGCCTTGGGTAAAGGGAAGGAACAAGTATCTATATTCTCCATCTTCCTAATTCCTCCTTCTGCTGCAGACATCATAAGATCTGAGTGGAGGTGGGAGGTGAGGGTCGGACCTTAGGAGGGAAGTAAAGGGCTTTTAAATGGGAGAGCTAGAGTTATGAGTGGGAGATGGGGATGTAGACATCACTATGCCCTTGGACTTTTTGGATCTTTAATGCATTTAATCTTTAACTAGGGCAACTGGGACAGGACCAAAAAGGATGCTGCTTTCTCTTCTAGGAAATACTTTCTACAGAGGTACAGAACCAAGGAAAAGCCCCCATATGAAAAATAAGTTGACTGACTATGCTGGCTCAGAGACATGCAGATGTTATCCAGAGCAAAGACTGTACTTCACTGAAGCTACCCTTGTGTTAAGTTATTGGTTGGGAAGAACACCTGAGTGAGCAAAAAGCAAGAGAGTGATGAATTTTCCATTGTGTGTATTGAGTATGTTTGTGTGGTGTGTATGGGTTTGTGTGTATGTATGCAGTTCTTAAACAAACATTTTGGATTATTTTTCATTCCCATGACACTAAACTATAATGAAATAAGTAGAATTTTAATTGTGTGTGGGGAAAGGAAGTTAATAAGTCAGTCTCTCAAAATTATTCAAGTTGAACAATCATATAATGGGAAATAAAAACCAAAAATACTCAAGAAATTAGCATAGTTCCTGCTTATCAAACCTTATTTTAAGGTTTCTCATGATTAATGTTGGCATAATTATCTTTAAATGTGCAGTTTAATACCAATTGTTGGATAACTCTCTCCACCAAGGTAGTAAAACTGGTATCTTGACTTTCCCGATTGTCATACATATACTTAACAAGCTTAGCAATTGTCTCTGTGTCTGTTTCAGATTCAAAGTCATAGCCTTTGCTTTCCTGTAAGTAAAAAGAGAGAAACAATGACACATTTAAGGAAATATTCATGATATCCAAATCTTTTCCAGAGTTTACCTCTCAAAAATCTCATTACCTAATTTCTAAATTTCTGAACATCATACCCTATTACCTGTTAATCAAAATTAAGATCACCATCTGATTATAGTGACCACAAAACAGTGTGATATTCTATATAACTGAACATAAACATAACATATAAATCTATATAATACTACATACAAACTAAATAAATTTCAAATAATTAAAATATAATAAAATATATAACACCCTAAAAACGCTAATTCCATAATGAATGTAATTATTCTTTCTTTGATGATGATACAGCACAGTCCATTAAAATAGCTATTAGCTATATGTGGCTATAATTTTAATGAAATATATAACACCCTAAAAACGCTAATTCCATAATGAATGTAATTATTCTTTCTTTGATGATGATGATACAGCACAGTCCATTAAAATAGCTATTAGCTATATGTGGCTATAATTTTAATTAAAATTAAATAAAACTTAAAATTCAATTCCTCGGTAATACTAGCTCAACAGCCACATGTGACAGTGGCTAGTATACTGGACAGCACAGCTATGGAACATCTCCATCACTGCAGAAAGTTCAATTGGACAGCCCTGAGAAGGCACTCAGGGAAGTCAACATTATATCCATTACTATACAGTATATAGCCATTTAGGACATAAAACCTTCATTTAATCTGTCCTGATTCTTCTTATATGTACTAGAAACTTTAAAAAATGAAAAACAATATCTCATAATGCAAAAGATTTCTCCCCAAAATCCCAATTTCATTTGAGTTTTTGATCATTTGTAATAAAGTCAAATAATTATTTCCTTTTCATGTAGGAAAACAGAATTGTTTCACTGTTAACAAAATCCAATAAACTACCACACCCTTGTAATTGTCTTTAGAACTACCTGATCATACGGAGATAGTGTTACACATTCCAACAACCAACCTCACTGCTTTCATTAGAAGTGTTTTCAAAGACTGGTGTCTTTTGAGGTCACTTTACTTACCAAAAACTTTTTCAAGTCTTTGTAGTTGGTGATGATTCCATTGTGAATAACAATAAATTCTAAAAGAGATAAAAGCATTGTAGAGATGACAAAAAAGATTAAAAATTTAATCAACACTATAAATCGCTATTACTATGAATAGATTTTTCTGAAGTCAAAAAATTTGTAAAATGCTATATACACTTCCAGGTGTAATCAACTATCATCTACTTCTCATCATCAGATTATCATCAGGTAGATCAGTAGCACTGTTTACATGGCTTAGCAGAAGCACAGGGAGGTGGTTATAGTGGAGAAAGAAAGAAACTGGAAATCTAGAGACATCAATTTCAGTTGTGTCTAAACTACTAACCCACAGTTACCATGTGAAAGGGGCAAGTTTACTGGGCCTGCTTTTCCTCATTTGCAAAAAGAAAGGGCTAAACTATATTATTCTCATTTTTCTGTTCATTCATTCCTGAGTATAAGTTTAAAGAGAAGGCCCTTCAAACTAAAAACAATGATCCAACTTACACTAAATAAGTTTAAGAACTAAAGTTAAGGAACTTGCTAAGAAAAACCAGTTATTCAGTTCTATAGTTAAATTTACTTGTCTGAGGTATAAATAATTCTTAGAATTCCAGGTAAATGAGTGTTAAAATATCATTCCAAGAGCAAATAAACATGATCTTGGGATAATTTTCATCTTTTTTTAATTAAATAATATCTTTGAAAAATGTAAGAACGGATAATTAAGAATTAACAAAATTATTTGTAGCCACCAATGATACATAAAAACTACCAATGTAGATTTATTATTTAAAGTTCATATAAGTCAGGAGAAAAATTACTAAGTTCAATTTTATATCAAATTATCAAAATGTTCTTAATATACTTAAATATCTGATGTTTCAGTCTCACAGTAAATGAACTTGAACTGAAATGCATTACATACCAAATAATAAAATAAACATTTTCACTAGATTTTTGAGAGATGATATCAGCGCAAAAATAAATTTAGGGAAAAAAATGTAATGCTAGACACAGAGAATCATAAATAGCGGATATAAAGCCTTAACTTAAAGCCAGATTCTTAAAACATAACTAGATATACTTTTAAGAATATTTTATAAAGGCTTTGTCAGTATTAAAAGTCTGTGTGGTCGCTAGCATTCTAACCTGATTCAATAATAATTGTTGAAGCACAAGAAACCTAAATAGGCAGCTTCTGAATTAAATTAAAAAATCAAAAGGGATAGACATACACACACATATGTATGTATTTGCTTACTTTAAAAAATGGAAGAACAGACTCAAAAAATTGGTTAAATGATATCTACAGGGAGAGATGGAATAAGGAAGAGGAAACAGGATAGAGTCTCTACTTCTTTTAATATGCCTTATTTTATAGGTGTGACTTCAGAAGTAGGCAGCTATTTTAATAATTTTAAATAAAATTGATTTTTAAAGAAAATCAATCCTTAAAAGTCAAAATAAAAATAAGACATTTTAACATAATGGTATTTCCAGCTGGTAGCACAACCACATAGAAAAGGACTATTTCTAGTAACCCTAAAACAGAGTAATTTGAGAGCATGCCTAGGGTCCTAAGGCAGCCCCACCACCCAGATGCAGACAAGAAACAAAGCATACCCAGGGTCCTAAGGCAGCAGCCAAGGGCAGCCCCCTCTGCCTGGAAGCAGGCAAGTAAAAGAGCACTCCCAGAGTCCTTAGGCAGAAGCCTAGGGCAGCCCCCCTCCACCTGGATGCAGGCAAGAAACAGCACACCTGGGGTCCTTAGGCAGGAGCTGAGGGCAGCCCTCTCTACCTGGAAGCAGACAAGAGATTTCACCTAGGGTCCTAAGGCAGGAGCTGAGGAAGCATCCCCAGGAGCACACCAAAAACACCATTTCCACCGCCACAGCCACAGCTGCTGCAAAAGTGGTGGATGCTGCAGCAGTAGCCACAGCTACTGTGCAGGTGGCCCACCAGACCTCAACTACGTTGACACAGGGAGAGTCACCAGCAGAGACCGGAAAAAGAGGAGGACATCTCTCTCCTTGAAGCCCACCCCAGAGTAACAGAAGAGGCAACTGCTCTGCCAGATGACCAAACATCAACATAGAGATACTAGAGATAAGAAAACCCAAGAAAATATGACACCACCAAAAGAGTACAGTGATTCTCAGATACCAGACCCTATATGGCAGGAAACCCTTGAACTGACTGAAAAGGAATTCCAAGCAACAATCCTAAACTCTCACTGAGTTTCAGTGAGATATGGGAAGACTCAGCTGGACAAAACAGCAAAATAAGAAAAAATCCAGGATATGAAGGAGGGAATTTACAGAGATTAATTGTCAGAGAGGTGACAGAGACGCAAAGGATTATTCAAAGCCCATTTCTTCTGAGCAGTGAGAGGCCCGAAAGGGTTACTTCCAGAACCTTCACGAGAGAAACATTCCTCGGAAATAACCCTTTCAGGCCTCTCACTGCTCAGAAGAGATGGGCTTTGAGTAATCCTTTGCGTCTCCATCACCCTGAGAGAGGTGACAATTAATACCTTAAAAAAGAATGTAGCCATTTTAGTATAGGTGTTTACAGTTATAAATTTTCCTCTAAGCACTGCATGAGCCTTCTGTCATATAAATTTTGATATGTTGCACTTTTCATGTCAAAATACTTTCTAATTTCCCTTTGATATTTCTTTTTTACCCATTGTTTATTTAGAAGAGTGCTGTTTAATTTCCACACATTGGTAAATTTTCTAATTTTCATTCTGTTATTGTGGTCAGAGAACTTATTTTCCATGATCTTAGTCTTCTTAAATGTATTAAAGATTTGTTTTGTGGTCAAAAAGAAAAAGAAAAAATTTTTTTAAAAAACGTAATAATTTGATTATGCATCCCTAGACAGACATACCCTAAGACAATAATAACAAAAATGAATCTTAGTTTTCAGTAAACATGCAAGACAAAAAAAAAAAAATCATTTCCACTAAAAGGAACTAGAGCTCCTTGGAAATAATGGCTGATTCTACGTCTGGGGCAGGATTACATGAACCTGAACATCATGGACTACCAGAACATAACGAAGACTATTGAGCCTATTGGGGTCAAGTCAAAAGGGCTCAGGAACTAACTTGAATAAGCTCCACATGGCCAAAGATGGGAAATTTGTGCATCAATATAGATAATTATTTCAGTATCTTGAAACAAACCAAATATTTGTAACAGTCAGCTGCAAACAAAAACCAAAAAACCTCATCTTAGGAAAACATTAAAACAACTTCATTTTTTTTAAATGGTCAATAAAGGGAAATAATCAAACATTTACCCTGCCTTTCCTATATAATCTGTACCTCAGGGTAACCAAGCAATTAATAAGAAATTTCTCTTTATAAAAGTATCTGAGACAACAAATGAAGAAGAAATGATAATAATGGACATTCACCATTTTACAACCCCCAAAGAAATAATTAATCTTGGCAATGATTATCAATGGCTGCTAACAACACAAAAAGAAGAACATCCAAACATTATATACCTTTAGATGCAAATAAACATCACACCAATTTATAAGAAATAGGAACAGAGAAACATGTTAAATGACATCACAGGGACAATGCAGTTAGCAAGATATAGACTGTAGGAAACTCTACAGGACAAACAACACAGTAAACTGAAAGGAAAAAGGAAAGAAAAAGCGACAACCTATAGATTAAAAGACTAAAGAGACATAAATCTAAATCCTTACCTTTTAGATACACACTTAAATATTTACAAATTAAATGCTATCTAGGTATCTGTGATATATCCTTCTGTATGATATTTACTGGTTTCCAAAAGAATATGGAAACGAGGGGTATAGGGGTATATAAACTTAACTGACCATGTATTGATAAATGTTAAAGCTGGGTAATGGGTCATCAGGTTCTGTACACTCTTTACTTCGCAATTTTTGAAATTTTCCAGATGAAACAAAAATTAAAATAACAAAAAACGTAAGAGCCTTCATTCTTCTCCCATTATCAGCCCTCTGCAATTATTCCAAAGCATGTGGAATCTGTCCATACCATTATTTTTATCAGAACGCTGGGGGTGGCTATTGACAGGATTGGGTTCTCCATGTGTTGCCCAACGGGTATGAGCTATTCCAAGGTGTACATCAAATTCTATATCCAAATCCATATCCTGTTGTTCTGAAGGACATAAAATGAAAAATTTCGATATTAAATCACACTGTAGAGAAAATATTAAATATAATATTACAGTGCTGCTCACCTGGAATATACAATTATTGAAAGTGAAGATCAGGCATATTCAGAATAGTAATTAAAAGACTTAAGAGTTAATGCAACTGAAATATTTAGGGCAAATAGTTTCAATAACAACCAAAAAACTGTATACAGAGAGTTAAAGGAAATGCAACAAAAATGTTAACAATTGGTAAAGCCAGGTGAAGTATGTACGCGCGTAATTAATGTACTATTCTTTCAACTTTTCTTGAGGATTAAAAATTTTAAGACTCAAGAAAAGACAAAAAGAGTTAATTTAATTTTGAAAATCTATATTTAATCCTCACCTTGAAAATATCACTATCATTTTAATTAGGCATGTAAAAATAAATTCATTTTCTAAATACCACATAACTGGGCCAGCCCGGTGGCGCACTGGATAGTGCGCCGCTTGGGAAGCGCGGCGGCGCTCCCGCCGAGGGTTCGGATCCCACATACAGACCGGTTCCCGCTCACTGGCTGAGCGAGGCGCGGGAGCAACGCCGAGGGTTGCAGTCCCGTTGCCGGTCCCCGGCCCGGCACGGGGCCCACCCTGCGGGGTGCGGGCCG